GAGGGAGGAGGGAGGAAGGGAGGAAGGAAGGAGGGAGGGAGGGAGGAAATTCTGCTTTCAGGAGGTTTCTCTGGCTGCGCGGGGGTGGGAGGGGACCCCCCCAGGGAGGGCTCCGAGTTTCCCAGGAGGGGCATGTGCTGGGGTCCGGAAAGAACTAGGCAGTGGGGAGCCCAAGGGCAGAATCCCACTGGCAGAGGCAGACGCAGAGGCAGGAAGGCAGGGAATATCCAGAGAGCTTTTCAGAGAACAGCAACTGCTACACCATTGCCAGCTTATCATGAACCATCATGGGGTGGCCGTGGGGTGTCATTGGCATGTGACAGAGAAGGAAAGAGACAAAACCAGGGAGATGAGTCTTCAGCCCAGCTACAACTGGGTGAGGGCTGTTTCCCATTCGACACTTTGACCAAACAGATTCCTAGGGTCTTTTGGCTCGGACCCTGCCCTCTCACCTGGGTGAAGTGTCGCCTTCGAGGGGACATCACAGGGGGGTTGGGGGCCTTCCAGCCGAGCGGCCTTTTTCCCTCAGGAGAGCAGAGGCAGAGGGAACTTTATTCTCCTGCTGGTTCCCGGGAGGGGAGGGTGTTGCTGGGGCCCACGACCCCTCTGCTTTTTGGCCCTTCCTCCTGAGGGCTCAGACCCTCAACTCCTCGTCCGAGCAGAGGCACCCCCAGGGGTCAGCTGGAGTGGAGGGACACAGCGCGTCCCCACCATCAGTGGATGACTGCCTGGCAGGGTTTCTCTGGGTGATGGCAAAGGGCAGTTTATTATTCTTTTCCTTTTTCTGTATTTCAGATCTTTTTCTTTAAAAAAGGAAGAACAGGGGCGCCTGGGTGGCTTAGTCGGTTAAGCGTCCGACTTTTGCTTAGGTCATGATCTCGCGGTTCGAGCCCCGCGTCGGGCTCTGTGCTCTGTGCTGACTGCCAGCTCAGAGCCTGGAGCCTGTTTCAGTCTGTGACTCCCTCTCTCTCTGACCCTCCCCTGCTCACGCTGTCTCTCTCTCTCCTAGAAATAAATAAAACATTAAAAATAAATAAATAAAAAGGGAAGAACTAAAGTGGCTTAGGGTGGGTATTTAGCGGGCTGTGAAAGCCGGCTAGGCTTCTGTGTGTGAATTTGCGGGTGTGTGAGTGAGTGTACGTTAGCATCCCCCCTCCCCCGGGGCTCCCCAGGAATGGGTATGGGGCTCATGACAAGGGATATTATAGCCCAGCACCTAGGATCATCCAGAGACCTCCTGACCCCCTTCTGTCCCTTCCAGCAACCCCAACAGGTTCTCACTTTGTGGAAGATGAAACAAGGCTCAGAGAAGTGAGGTGACTTGCCTGAGGTCACATAGCCAGGCAGCGGCAGAGCTGGGATTTGAGCCCAGGCCTGGGGCTCTCCTGACCTGCACCACGAAGCTGCCCGGAGGGCAGGTCATGTTTACACGGCCTCCACTGTAGGTCCCGGCTGTGCAGAGCACAACTCGGGGGGCCCCCGCGCTGCCCCAGAGAACGTGGTGACATTGCACAGCTCATCGGTGGCTGTGGCGTGCGTGAGCCAGCTGGTTGAAACTCAGAGTTGACATTTCCCCGGCCAAGCTTTTCTTCTTAGAAAGAAAACACAGGATGTAGGGCAACTCCAACAGCTGTGTTTAAATGCCAGAGTTCATTTGACCTTCAGAAGCAGAGGATGCTATCCTGGTTCTCACAAACATCCCCATCTCTTCTCCAGGAGCCCCATTACTTACAAACACAGTGATTCACGGTGACCATGACTGCCAGGCAGCACTGTGCGCGTTGTGCACCACCTAGCTCTAGGGAGACCACCAGTCTGAGTAAAAGTACCTTTTGTGTGTTGTGCGGTGCTCAACGTGTGCAACAATGCCTGGTGGCCTTGAGCCTCCAAAAACATTTCTGCTAGGTAGACAGGCGAGTGGGTCCCCTGAAGCTTTGAGAAGGCAAGTGTGCTTACCTTCTTGTTGACGTGTGTCCCCTTGAGCAGCAGAAACTGGCCAGTCCCACACAGGGGACCTGGAGCTGGATGGCCCCTCCTCATTGATGAGCACTGCGTATATCTCACCTACCTTCCCTCCTTCCGCATTCCAGCCAGCCCAGACTTGGCTTGTGTTAAAAGTTTCCGCTGCCACCCTTCTATACCTGACTCTTTAATTCTTGAAGGGTCTCTGATGTACTGGGCCCTGTGTCTTCCGTTTCCTCTCCCCGTCTCTGCCATCTCACTCTGCCACCGCCATTGTCCCGGGAGCTCAGACCCCGAGCCCTGCGTCCTCCCTGACTCCACGACATCCGTCCCTGTTGCGGCTCAAGTACAGTAAGTCCCGCTGGTCCTGCCTCCTAGTTACACTCGGGTCCCCTCCTTCCTCGCCACCCTACCTCCTACCTGTCTAGGCCGTCGGCCTCCCTCACCTGATGAGGGCTCCAGCCTCCTTCTGGCCTCCCTGCCTCAACGATGTCCCACTGCAGACCCTTCTCCCTGTGGCAACCGGAGGGGCCTCTAAGAAATGAAATCGAGAGAAGCCAGACCCTGAAGGCCCCTACTGTCTGATTCCTTGTATAGAAACATCTAGCAGAGGCCAATTCACAGAGTCAGAGAGCAGATGGCTGGTTGCCAAGGGCTGGAAGGAAAGGGGGAGGAGGGAGGGAGATGGGGAGTGACTGCCCAGGGGGTTCGGGGTTTCCTTTTGGGGTGGTGGAAGCGTTATGGAACCAGGTAGAGGGCAGTGACCGCACAGCACCGAAAGTACCAGATGCTGCTGCATCTCTATGCTTAGAATGTAGAATGGTGCCTTTTATGTGACGTGTGTTTTACCACAATAAAAACAAAAGTTAATCAGATGTGGTCTGATCACCTCCCCCCCCTCGCCCCCCAGATGCCTCGCAATAACCCCAAATTCTGGTGGGGGTCTCACAGGCTCCAGCAGCACCTGCCCCCAAAGGGCTCGACCTCTGGGACCTAGTGGGGGTCTTTGCCGTCCGGATGAATGAACACACCAGCCGAGCGGGCCATTCCTGGCCGTGCAGCCGCGGGCCTCCAGGCAGCTGGTCAGCCCTCACCCCGCTGCAGGCCGGCCGGAGCCGAGCCCTGAGCACCGCCTCCTGGGAGCCCACCTTCGTCTTTGTCCTTCAGAATCCTTCTTCCGCGAAAAGACTCATTCCTTTGGCGTGAGCCATGCTGGTTTCTGCCTCAGTGCTTTCTGCGTCTGAAAGTCCTCTGGGCTCCCATGCTCCTCCCTGCTAATACCTGTGCCCTTGAGAACTTTCCACTTCTTCTGGCTTTGGGGAGGGGTTGTCCAGAGAACCAGGACCACACCCAACACTTGACACACACCACGGGCTAGACCATGGGGTAGGAAGGGCAGCACGGGACCTGTTTTGAAACGTCCTTACCTGTGTACATACGATGGTTCCTAAGTTCAAGGTCAGGAACGTCTGTACCTTGTCAGCTGCTTTGGCTGCCTCGACATGCCCTTGAGACTTTACCCAAAAGTCACCTTCTCAGTGAGGGGACCCCTCCTTACTTAAAATTGCACCCCTGAGTGCCCTCCCTGCCTCATTTTTCTTCGGAGCCCTCATCACCATTGATGCCCCCATATTTTAGCCATTCATCTCTCTAGTGTGTGCCAGTCCCATGAAGGCAGGGACCCAGTGTCCCCACAGCCTGGAGCCTGGGGGGCTGCCAGCTCACTCACTCAATCCGTGAAGGGGGCAGAGGCTTTCTGGTCCATAAGTGCCTTGTCTGAATTGTTGGGGTGATGCTCGCAGACTGCCAGGGAACAGTCGGCCCACCATGCTCCGACTCCTCTGGGGCACAGTCCTGGCCAGGCCTCACCCTCCAGGCCCATCGACGGCGCCAGCCCAGCTCCCTGCTCTGGCTCCTCGCTTCCAGACCTCCCTTGGAAGGGGCTGCCGAATGCAGAGCTCAGCACTCCTCAGCTCAGCACCGACTGGCTGTTCTAACCTTCCGCACCGCTGATGCTGGGGTCGGATAACCCTTTAGTTCGGGGGCTGCTCTGAGCACCGTAGGATGTCTGCCAGCATCCCTGAGCTCTACCCACGAGATGCCACGGGGACCCGCCCTTGTGACAACTAAAAATGTCTCCAGATGTTGCCAAACATCCCGTAGGGGGCAGACCCACCCTCGGCCGAGGCATCACGGTTTTTCTTCGGGATAATTTCAGGCACATAGGAAGGCAGGGAGGCCAGCGTGAAGGACCCTCCGCACCGCCACACAGCTGCTTGGCTATCAGCCCCTGGCCAGTCTTGTTTCATCTCCCAACCTACCCGACCCTGCCTTTCTTACTTCGAAGCAAGTCCCAGACGTCATACTATTTTGTCTGTAAATATTTCCACATTTACCTCTAAAGGACAAAGACTCGGGGTGCCTGGCTGGCTCAGTCGGTAGACATGCAGCTCTTGATCTCGGGATCATCAGTTCAAGCCCCATGTTGGGTGTAGAGCTTACATAAAATAAAATAAAATAAAATAAAATAAAATAAAATAAAATAAAATAAAATAAAAAGTAAAAAAAAGACAAAGACTTCTTTTGATCAAAATAACTATACACATATTGTCATCGTTGCTTAGTTTATTTGAATTGGGGTCCAAATAAGGCCCAGCCTTGGAATCAATCGATACTGGTGTGTCTCATCTAATCTCTGGGCTTATCCATCTCTCTTTGGGCGACTGCCTTTTATTTGCTGCAGAAGCCAGCTATGGATCCCACAGAGTCTCCACAGTCTGGACTTCCTGGCCGCACGCCTGAGGTGGCGTTTGGCATGTCCTTCTGTCTCCTGTATTTCCTGAAATTCGGCGGTTGGGTCCAGGAAGGACTGTTTCTCGGGTGAGAAGGGTCCAGAGAGGCAGTGCTGTGCTCTTCCGTCAGGAGGCGCCGGTGCCTGGCTCTCCCGTCTGTGGGCTGAGCGGCGCCTGCTGTGGCTCCGCTGTCCTGTGCCTGCCGTGGCCTGCCCCTGGCTTGTTGCAGGACCACACCGCTTGCCTGCGAGATGTTCCCTGGGCTGCAGGGGTGGGGTGGGCGTGGAGGCAGCTTCTCAAAGGCCGTACCTGTTCTCCCCAACATCGTGGGCTCCTTAGCTGGGCAAGCAGGATCCGTGCCTCGAAGGCCGTGCTGCGCACACGGGAGGACTCTGTGACCGGGACTCTGTCTCCCAGAAGCCAGAGGTGAGGACTTCTCTCCCAGCCCTTGGGCGGGGGGTGGGGGGGGGTGGTTTCACGGGTGAAGGTGAGAGAAGGGCACCGGGACAGCTGTGTTAAGGGAATGGGGGGGGGGGAGTGCACAGGCCCCATTTGGGCCCGGAGACGGGTGGAATGCCGTGGACTCAGGAGGAGCCTTGGGCGGGGCTGCCTGCTCTCTCCGGCTGCGGGCTGCACCCCTCCCTAAGGTACTGAGGCACCTGGAGACTTTGGAGTCTGAGCTCCCTGCTTTGGTGGGAGGAGTACACAAATCTGGGTGCTGTGGGATAAGAAGGGAGAGCTCTGCTGGGGTGGGTGTCATCAGGGAGGACCTCTCAGAGGGAGTGACATTTGACCTGTATCTTCAAGGACAGCCTTCCTCGGGACACGTCATCCATGCGCAGGGGGGACCCCAACAGAGAGGTGTTTAAATGCTTTGGTCTCCCCAAGGCGGTCAGCCTACAGCTGGTACTCAAGGTATGGGAATGGCCAAGGGGAGAGGGAACCGCCGTGGGAGTGGGTGACCGCCACAGAGGTGGGTGGGAACTAGTGAGTCAGGGCTCCTAACACCAGCTCCTGCGGGTTGCACTAGAGAATCCACTTTACGTGGACTATTTTATCACAACAACCTTATGAGATGGAAGTAATATTGGCATTTACCAGATAAGCAAACTGAGGCTCGGAGTAATCAGGGATTTACTCTAGTCACATAAGTGGTAGAGGCGTAATTCAAATCCACGTCTGGGTGCTTCTAAAGGTGATACTCCTAAGATAGAAAACGTAACTGACTGCAGTTCCTTAAACAAATTAGGGATCAGTTTTCACATAAAAGATGACTGGAGGTGGGGTCGAGGGCTGGGTTGGCAGTTCCACGAAATCATCAGAGCCCCAGCCTCCACCATCCTCGGTTTATGGCTTCCATCTCCAAAGTCACCTCAGGGTCCAAGATGGCTGTTGGAGCGCCAGCTGTCTCATCTGTTTTATAGGCAAGAAGAAGAAGAAGAGAGGAGAAGGGGCACAGACCTGCCTCCTAGTTTAATTGGCTCTTTAAAAGTGTCTCTAGTCATCTTACTCAAAGCCTTCCGGGTCAACGGCTACCACCACTCCGAAGGAGGCTGGGAAATGCAGTCTTGTAGCTGGGCACATCACTGTGCAAAGACCAGAACTCTGTGAGTGAGGAAGAGGAGGATGATGCTACAGGGCCTCTCTCCCCACCTCACCCCCCCCCCCCACCCCAGAGCAATTTTCCATGCCTTCCAGTCTCTCCAGAGCAATGTGTCCCTGGATGCATGTAATACAGACCCACTGATGGGAGTCACTTGAGGCTTTCAAACTCATTCAACTGTTCTCTTCTGGACTGTTTTGCTGGGGATGCAGATACAGAGAGGCACGTCCTGGGCTGTGTGCTTTGCCTGTGGTCTCCTACGGTGACCCACTGCCCTGTCTGATGTGTGTAGACCTGTTCTCTTGTTTCTGACGCCAGTGGCTCATGCTTATTGGTGTCAGGCTGATCGGCTGGTGGTTTTGAGTGTGTGCTGGTGTCGGAGAGACCTGGCTTCGACCCTTGACTCTACCCTTCCCCGCTTGCTTGATCCTGGGCAAATACGCATACTTGTTCCTGCGTTTCCATCCCCTCACCTGTGAAATGGGCATCATAATACTTGCGCATGTACATCGAGGGCTTATTTTGTGCCAGCCCTTCTGAATGTTCCATGCACACTGACATACTGAGTCTCGCCAGTGAGCCTATGAGATAGGGACGACCATCATTTCCATTTTATAGATGAGGAAACTGAGGCACAAGGAGTTTAAGTACGGCCGGGGAATGACCAGGCTGGGGAAGGAAGCTCATCTGACCAGAGCTCACATTCTGGACATTACGCTAGGCATTACCTCTGCGAGTCTCAGTTTTGCTATGTGTAGGGTAAAATGGGGGTGATAACAGTACTTCCTTGGGTTGACTTGAAGATCCAATAAGATGCTGATGTCTGTGACGGGCTTTATTTAGTGTCTGGTGCATAGTAGATACTTGGCACATGTTGGCTACTATCACCCTGTTCCCCAGTCTCCTGGCCGCCTCCCTCTGATGCCCATGTTAGGTTAGATGTCGCCTGCCTGGCTCTTTGTAGTTCTATTCCATTCCTTCCACTGGCTATTTTTATTTCTATTTCCTTGGAATTCTGGATTCTGTATGTGAGCCTCGCTGGTCATTTGCAGCTCACATGAGAAGACCAGGGCTTTGGGGACATGTGACAGCTTCCCAAATGGGAGTAACTGGGAATGCAGTGTTTATTCTGCAGAAACCAGTGACCCAGCTGCCTTCCCTGGGAGAGTGACCCATGGGCTCTTCTCCCATCTCCTGGGGACAGAGTCTAGCTTTGCCAGAGTAACTGGGATGTCTGTGCTGGGAGAGGCCATTTGGACAGGGCGTCGTGTCTATGCTGAAGAGGCTTACTGAGAATCAGCACCAGGGCGGGGCGGGGGCAGATGTGAGAGACCAGGGAAGGGAGTCACAAACCCTCCTGCCATTGTGTCTTCACAGAGCCTGGGGCCTGCAGAAGACCAGGCCTGGTGGCCCCGTGGTCCTAGAACAAGGGGACTTTCTGACAGCAGCCCCAGAAACAGGACTGGGGACTGAGGCAGACCCCGTCGGCCTACTTCCTAATACCTACTCTGTTTGTGCCAACAAAACATCGATTGGTTTTTTAATCAAAAAAGCCAGTCATGACCATTCTGTTACCAAATTTCCCAGCCGCTCATGCTGATCATGTGACCCAGTTCTGGCCGATCAGTCTTGAAGTGGGACGTCTGCTGGGGGCATTTCTGGGAAAGCTTTTGCTCACCTGATGAAAAAAGACAGGTGTAGTTAGCGTGGCCCTTGGCTTTTCCCCAACTTTGGACTTGTCTCGTACCCAGTGTGAGGCCTAGAGCCATGGCAGCGATCTGAGGCCAAAGCCTGAGGATGGAAGGTGAATTATATTAGGGAAGGTGGAGTCACAGTCCCCGATCCTAGCAGCTGCTTGCTTCTGGTTGTGTTATGTGAAAAACAGAACCCTCTACCTATTTGTTTAAGCCTCTATTGGTTGGGTTTTGTTTTTTGCAGGGGAATGTGTTCCTAAATGATACAGACACAATGGTAGAGAGGGTGGCTTGGGCCAATCAGGGACCCTGCATACTCAGAGACACTCATAACTGCTCCTCAGGACCGCTGTGTGCTAAGGCCTTTACTGGGCCTTGGTGACATCCGGCAAATCGGGCCCAGACCCTTCCCTCTAGAGGGTCACGGTCCATCCAAAAAGAGAACGTGAACTGTTCACTGGTACAGACTGTTATATGACACTCAGGTTCAAAGTCAGACGAAGCCTACTCGAAGGCCCACATGCCAAACTTGGCAAAAACCACAGAAGAGCAGAATTGCTCAGGATCCCAGGGGAGCTTAGGGCTTCGTCAGCCCTAAAAAATTGAAGGGTACCTTTGTCTTCCGCCTTTCACCTTTCCGCTGACCCAGTGTGGTTTTAGTTAAACAAGATTAGCTGCTCTAACTTGTAAACCCCGCGGTCTCAGGGCACATCACAATGAAGATTGATTTCTTGTTCACATGAGCTGGATGTGGGCTGGTGGGAGCCAGTGAGTACCTGGCGTCTGCTTCGTGCTGTCATTCAAGGGCCTGGGCCCTTGCCCCCTTGTGGCTCTGTCGTCTTCTAAGTAGGTCTCCAGGGTCCTCTCATTCAGCAGGGGGATGGGGAAGGAGAGATGAGGGCGGCACACAGGAGGGTCTTTGCACCAGGCCTGAGAGCGACGACATCACTTCCTCTCACATTCTACTGGCTGGAACTCGGTCATGTGGTCATAGCTTACAGCAAAACAGGCTGGGAAATGGAGTCTCGCTGTGTGCCCAGAGCTACCGAGGACACCTGTTGGCCCTCAGAGATGGTGGCCAGCAGGCTCCCTTCCTCGTCTCTCCAGGCCCCTGTCTATGGCTGTTTCTCCTCGCAGAGCCGCTGGCCAAGGCCCTCGGAGCACCTGGGCCTTCTCAACATAACCACCTGAGCACGGGCCATCCCCAGGAAGCCCGCCTGACACCTGGGGTGAGAATGGGGTTCCTCAACTTTGGCACTGTTCTGTTCTGGGCTAGATGACTTCCGGTGGTGGGGCTATCCTGTTGTAGGAAGTGAGCAGCACCCCTGGCCTCTACCCATCAGATGTCCATAGCACCTCCCAGCTGTGACAACCACGTATGTCTCAGCCATTGGCCAATGTCCCCGAGGGTGTGTATCTGCATTAGCAGATGCCAGAGCTTTAGAAGGCTGCCTTCTCCTTGTGGAGGGCTGAGGTGCAGGAGGGAGGCACACTTTGTGTCCTGATGTGTCAATGGCACAGACAGGCAGCAGAAAATAAAACCGAGATGGCAACTCAGTTACCAGAAAATCGTAGTTAAAATAACAACCAAAGGAGGTCAACGTTGTAATGGGGCCTCTGTAGGGCCAGGCGTGTTTCAAAGGCAGGACCATCAGGTCCTCTCCGCACGGGATCAGGGTGCTTTTCAAAGGAGGAGACATTTCAACCAGGTCAGAGGCTGGAGGAGTTTGCCCAAAGGCCTTCAGTGGGTCTGTAAAGGCAGCATGGTGCATTCTGGGCGTTGGAGGTGCTTTGATGTGACTGGAGCAGGAGTGGGTACCGGCGAGCTCTCTCTTCCAAGAGTCTGCCTTCAAGCTGGGTTTAGTCCCCTCCTCTCTGTCCCCATGGTCCCCGTACAGGCCCATCGTATACCACTGGTCACCCTGCAACGATCTGCTTCTTCTCAAAACCCTGTCTTTTGTCCTACTGTATCCCTGTGCTGTGCGCATAGTAGGTGCTCAGGCAATGGAATGAGTGAAGCAATCAGTCAGTAAATGAAAGAACTGATTCAGTCCAAGAAGATTGGGTTTTAGTCTCTGCAGTAAGGAGCCATTGCAGGGTTTTGAGCAGGGGAGTTACCTGCTGTTGGGTGGAGGCAGGGAGGCCAGCTGGGGTGACTGTCCAGGTGGGAGCTGATGAAGGCTGAGCGGAGCTCTTTCAGAGAAACAATTGTTGATGACTGATTAGTTGTGGCAGCGAGGGAGGGAGGGAATGAGGGTGTGGGTGGTGCAGAGGGTGGGGGCCTAGGGTCGAGGACTAGGAGTGGAGGGGGTTGAGGGCCAGATGCCTGGAAGACCACACTGGCCCCCTGCCCCCCGCCCCCCGCCCTGACCTTGTGGGGAGGAGTCCAGCAGGTGGAAGAGTCTGGGGTCTGAAAGAAAAGTTGAGCTGAGAAATGGAAAATTAGAAGTCATTCATGTGTAGTGCCTGGAAGAACAAACTCGTAATTCTACTTTTCAGAAGCTGCCTGTAGCTGTTTCTGCAAATATACACTGATAGTCGCAGCCCTGATGTTTAGAGGACGACAGCTCTCCTTTGGAAGAATGCTGTAAAGAGCTCTTGATTGGGTGAAAGGTCTT